TTAAAAAAAAAAAAAAAAAAAAATCCAAACAGAGAGGCTGTAACAATTCATTCTCTCCTTGATATGAATAGCATAAAGACTGCTATAAAAACGGCTTTTAACAGCTGCGGAAGGCAAGGCCATCAGCCCTGGTTTAAATCTGGTGCCTCGTTATCTTTACTCAGTGCTTTAAACTGGTGTTGAGATATAGTTCCCCTCCCTATCTGCACATCAGCAGCCAGCCCAGAGCTTCATGATCTCGCTTGTCTTCCAGTGACTTAGAGAAGAAGCAGGTTAATGTTGGAGAGGCCGCTGTATTGGGTGACAGAAAGAGTGGGGTCGTTTGCAGTAGGTTGCAGACTTGTTTGCTGAGTGATGATTACCTGCTGAATTTGGAGTTTTATTTCTTTACTTGGCATGGGGATAAGGCTGGGAAAGGGAAGGTGGGAAGAAAGCAATAAACTAGATATGTATAATATATACAAAACCCTGTAAAAGACTTAGAGGGTATGAATGCAGAGGGCTGTACAGTGCATGGCTTAGAAAGTCTGAGGGCTATGTAGGTGTAAATCAGGAGCAACTAGCTCGTTGGTGTAAATGAGTTTTGAGAGCTGCACAGAATGGATTATAGTTTGACATGGGCAGGTAGGGTTCTTGGGTAGATCTGGTATCTTTTATTAGATCAATTCAGATACTTGGAAACATTCTTCTTAGCAAGGTTGTGGGTTTAAATACCCTCCGTCAGGCTGAGGAAGCATCTGCAGTTGGTGTGTGCTCTTCCTGGATGAAATGATAGTCTTTCTATCGGTGTCAGTGGCCTGTGGGCTTACCGCTAAGGGACGGTAAATGTTATGGTTCACGTTCTGGGAAGATGGTGTGTCAAGTCCGTGGCAGAAAAGCAGTGTTGTAGAGCAGCTAGTCAAGAATCAGATCCTTTCATCCCCAGTACCAGTACTAGCCTGACTTGCTCCCCGGCTTCACAAAGGCCCACCTTCTGCCAGTAGCCTCTGAAATTGGTTGTACTGGTTTCCGAGGGTTCGGACAACATATGCCAGTGGTCCAGATGCTCCGCAGATCCAGCTGAGGTCGGCGAGAGCTTACTGGTGCTTGGCATCAAAAAACGGGCTCTGAAGCCGAGAACCCCAAATTACCTTATAAATAAAAAAAATGAAGTCTTTCAGCGCCGGTGTGCCCTGGTTTCCCCGTCCGGAAGAGGGAGAGGCCTTGTAACTGGGCTGTTGCGAGGGCTTTCTGCTATTTTTAGTTTGGGAAAGGTACTGTAGAGCAGACAAGTTATTAAACTAAAATCTCCTAGCAGCAAGGTCAGCTGCGCAGCGGCGGGACTTGCCGAGGGCTCGTCTCTGTGGGCAAGTACTCGAGGGAGCAACCATTGCGCAGAGTGGCTGGGCTTTTTGTAATGCAGACACTCGTGTCCACGATAAGTGTGGGGTTAGTGCGTGGAGCAGCTCGGGCACTATAAACTCACACCTCTGCTGGCTTCACGGTAACATCGCTGGTCAGGCAGCCCCGAGGCGCTCACTCTCTGAAGCGTTTCAGAGCAGACAACATCTGGATTATTTTGCACAGCTCCGCATGTCACTGGGAGCTGAGCGTGCTTTGGGCCAGGGGAACCTGCCCCACAGAGAGTTAGCATAGAAGAAACCCCTCTGCTATCTTGGGGAGAAAGGGGATCACCAAGACGGTCTTTCAGCCTTGCTATCTGATTCTTTTAAGGTTTGGGGTTTTTTT